CCCAGGGACCAAAAATCCCTCCCCCCTCCCCCCTCCAAGCCAAGGGACCAAAAAGTGACCTGACCGGCCTCTACTGGACCAAGGGCATGGCACGCCTCTGCTAGCCCAAAAGAGGCTGGGCCCTGCTGGGAACAGGGGAAAGAGGCATGGCCCCCCAAGATGCCCACCTCTCCTCCGCCCTCTGCCCCTGCAGACGCCCCCTGGGCCGTGCTCCTGGCCAGTGTGGACCCCGAGGCTACCTCGGTGGTGGTCAAGGGCTTGGTCCCCGCACGCTCCTACCAGTTCCGCCTCTGCGCCGTCAACGACGTGGGGAAAGGCCAGTTCAGCAAGGACACGGAGAGGTGAGAGCAGGTCTCAGGGATGGGCTGAGGGGTTGGGGGGCCCGAGGGGCTGCCAAAACCACTGTGGCCAGGCTGCCGGCAGGTCCTGGCTGGTTCTCCCTGGACCCTCCAGCCTCAGTCTCCGCATCTGTAGGATGGGGTCACAGTACTCACTCCTGCCTCCCAGGGAGATGGTCATGACAACATGAAACCACACGCGTGAAGGGCAATGAGCAGCGCCCAGTGCGGGCGAGGCATCCACCAAGCTTAGTCATCCCTCTGACTGCGAGCTCTGCAAGTTCAGAGACCTGCCCCTCCTGCCCCGCACGCCCACGGGCTGCCACCCTGTTCAGCAGGCGGGCACTTCCGGAGGGACACAGACCTGCTCCCATCCCCACAGCCGGCGCCTGGCAGGACGCCGGCCCCGCTAGGCTTTCCACGGAGCATTCTTAAAAATGATGGAAACGGAATGAAAACAGCAGGCCATCCGTCTTAAAGCATCACGGTAGGACCCGCCTGTGTAGGAGGCGAAGGCCAACCACCTCCCCCCGTGGGGAGGTCAGAATGGCAGCGACGCAGACCGCCTGCGCCCAAGCCAGGGCTTTGCTCTTTGTTTTTTTTACGTTCACTTTTATTTTTCCAGCTTTACGGAGGCATGATTGACACACAGCACTGTGTACGTTTAAGGTGTGCAACTGGTGATTTGCTACATTCATATCCTGCAAAGTGATATTGCCCATACCGTAGTTAGCTGACACCTCCATCCCATGACATGTTACCCTTTTTCTGTTGTTGTGAATCCTCCCCCGAGGATATTTTCTCATTGATTTTAAGGGAGAGTGGAAGAGAGAGGAAAGACAGAGAGAAACATTGATGTGAGAGAAACACATGGATCGGTTGCCTCCTTGCATGAGCCCCGACCGGGGCCCGGGCTGGTGCTCCCGACTAGAATCAAATCCGGGACCCTCTGGTCTGCCGGCCAACACTCTATCCACTGAGCCAAACCGGCCAGGGCCATATTCTCCTTTTTTGTGGTCTCTCCTCTCTGAGCAACTTTCATGCATAACATACAGGATCAGCAGCTCTAGTCACCCTGCTGTCCATTAGATCCCCCGAGCTTGCTAACCTCACAATGAGAGTTGTGGCCTTTGACTGATACCTCCCCATGCACCTCCCTCCCCAGCCCTTGCTTAGCCACCAATCTACTCTCTGTTTCTCTGAGTTTGGCTTCTTTAGAGTCCACATCTGAGTGATGTCATAAGCCACCTGTCTCTCGGTCTGACTTCTTTCACTTAGCACAGTGTCCTCGGGGTTCATCCACATTGTCTCAGACAACAGGACTTCCTTCTTGCTCGTGGCTGAGTGATACTCCTGTGTGTGTGTGTACATGAGCGCACACGAGCCACATCTTTATTCATTCACCCTTTGACGGGCATTTATGTTGCTTCCATATTTTGGCTGTTGTGAATACCGCTTCAGTGAGCACGGCGGTGGGGGTGAGGGCGGGGGGGCAGCTATATCTTCAAGATCCTGTTTGCATTTCTTGTGGCTGGACACGTCCCCAGAAGCGAGCTGGCGGGATCCTCTGGTAGTTCTGCTTTGAACGTTTTGAAGAAACTCCACACTGGTTTTCATAGTCACTGTCTCAATTTACATTCCCACCAGCAGCGCCCAAGGGCTCCCTTCCCGCCACACCCTCACCCACACGTGTTACTTCCTGTCTTGTTGATGATAGTCATTTTAAGGCGTGTGAGGTGACGTCTCCTGGTGGCTTTGATTTGCGTTTCCCTGATAATTGGTCCTTTTCATGCACCTGTTGGCCATTTGTATGTCTTCTTTCGATAGATGTCTATTCAGGTTCTCTGCCCATTTGTTAATGGTTGTTTGTTCTTGGGTTTCGCTTTTTTTTTATTTGCCATGGAGCTGTGTGAGTTCTTTCTCTATTTCTGATATTAACCCCTAATCAGATCGATGATGTGCAGATGTTTCCTCTCATTCCGTAGGCGGCCTCTCGTCTTGGTGGGGGCACATCTTTATCCATTCATCCTTTGACGGGCGCTTACGTTGCTTCCATATCTTGGCTGTTGTGAATACTGCTTCAGTGAGCACAGGGGCGCAGGGGGCAGCTATCTCAGCGAGCTGGCGGGATCCTCTGGTAGTTCTGCTTTGAACGTTTTGAAGAAACTCCACACTGGTTTTCATAGTCACTGTCTCAATTTACATTCCCACCAGCAGCGCCCAAGGGCTCCCTTCCCGCCACACCCTCACCCACACGTGTTACTTCCTGTCTTATTGATGATAGTCATTTTAACGCGTGTGAGGTGACGTCTCCTGGTGGCTTTGATTTGCGTTTCCCTGATAATTGGTCCTTTTCAGGCACCTGTTGGCCATTTGTATGTCTTCTTTCGATAGATGTCTATTCAGGTTCTCTGCCCATTTGTTAATGGTTGTTTGTTCTTGGGTTTCGCTTTTTTTTTATTTGCCATGGAGCTGTGTGAGTTCTTTCTCTATTTCTGATATTAACCCCTAATCAGATCGATGATGTGCAGATGTTTCCTCTCATTCCGTAGGCGGCCTCTCGTCTTGGTGGGGGTTCCCGTTGCCGTGCAGAGCTTTTCAGTGAGATGTAGTCCCACGCGTTTATCGTTGCTTCTGTTGCCTGTGCCTTCGCTGTCTTATCCAGGCAGTCACTGCCGAGGCCCGGTCCAGGCGCTCCCCTGGGTTTCCCTCCGGGATTTTTACGGTGTCGGGCACTGTATTTACGTCTTTCGTCCATATCAGGTTCACTTTGGGGAGTGGTGTAAGGAAGGGGTCCACTTTCATGCTTCTGCATGTGGTTATCCAGTCTTCTCAACACTGCTCCTCCCATGGAGAAGAATTAATATTGTTAAAGATGCCCACATCACCAAAGCCTCCTATAAAGTCAGTGCCATCCCTATGTTCACAGAAATAGGGAAAAACCATCCTAAAATGGGTATGGAGCCACAAAAAATCCCCGGTAGCCAAAGCAATCCTGAGAAAGAACACAGCCAGAGGCACCGTGCTTCCTGATGTTGAACTCTACTGCCAAACCGTAGTAACCAGGACAGGGTGGCGCTGGCATAGACAGACACGCGGGCCCAGGGAACGGAACGGAGAGCCCAGCAATAAACCCTCGCATATACGCCAGCTAATAATTGACAAGGGAGCCGAGAATAGGGTTTTATTTTTAAAAGATGCTCTTAGGTGAGTCCACAGACCTCTGGCAGATGTGTGGTTTCGCCACAGGGCTAGCAAGCTGTCTCTGGATTTCACGAAAAAAATGCTATAACAGCCTAGCATGGAGAGCGGTTATAGGAGAACTGTTCATTCTCTGTTTATTGAGCACCTACTATGCTCCAGGCCATGTGTGGGCCACCAGAGGTGGTGCTGGTGCAGGGAATAAAGCGGGCATGGCCCCAGTGGCTCAGAGCTACAAGATCCCACTAAGAAAGGGGGCTGGGTGAGAAAGGTGAAGGGATTAAGCCAAAAAAAAAACAAAACCCAGCAACAACAAAAAACAACCTCATAGACAGAGACAACAGTATGGTGATTACCAGAGGGAGGGGAGGTAGAAGAAGGTAAAGGGGCTATAGGTGGTGACGGAAGGAGACCTGACCTGGGGTGGTGAACGCACAATCCAGGTCAGTATGCAGCTGAGGTGTGATGGAACTGTACACCTGGCACCTCTGTGATTTATTAACCAGTGTCACCCAACGAATTCAATACAGAACAAAGCAGCCCTATCCGCAAGGCATCAAACAGGGTTCAGCGTTAATAGAGCAGGTCTCCACTTCCCCTTCCGACCTGGAGAGGCAGCCGTGTAGACCATCAGCCTTGACAAACACAATAAAATGCTTCCTATTCGATTCAAAAAAAAAGGCCTCAAAGTGCAGGGCCGACCCTCCCTCAACGTCCCCGGTCCTTCAGCTCCCACTCATTCATCTTCCTAACCCGTCCTTGTGTGCGGCCCGGAGTCGCCGGGAGGAGGTGAGCTCCCCCCGCAGCTCTGCAGAGACGGCAGTGCAACCCGCGTGGAGAGCGATCCATCCGAAAGCAAAATCATAAACTAGTTTCCAGAAGGAAAGGCATCCGTCGAAAATAATTAACTTGTGTTTTTAATGGATGCGTGTCAGTCATGTGAGAAACGCGCCGACGGGGAGCGCCGTGTCCCCTGGCGATGCCCGAGAGAAACGCAGGCACTCGGCTTCAGGAGGCGGGCGACGCGCTGGCTGTCACCCACACGCCATGTCACCCCACCCGCCTGCCCCGCCCCAGCCTGGGCGCAGCCCGTGGGTAAAGGAGGCCCAGTTACAGTGCACCACCAGCCCGGCCAGTGTGGCTCAGTGGTTGAGCATCGACCTATGAACCAGGAGGTCATGGTTCAGTTCCTGGTCAGGGCACATGCCCGGGTGCGGGCTCAATCCCCAGTAAGGGGCATGCAGGACGCAGCCGATCAATGATTCTCTCTCATCATTGATGTTTCTCCCTCTCTCTCTCTCTCTTCCTCCCTCCCTCTCTGAAATCAATAAAAAAAAGGAGTGGAGGGAAACGTCATTAGTGGGGGACATGCAGGAGGCAGCTGATCAATGATTCTCTCTCATCGTTGGTGTTTCTATCTCTCTCTCCCTTCCTCTCTGAAATCAATGAAAATATTTTTTTAAATAAATAAAATGCACCACCAGCTGGCAGCTGCCAGGGGAGGATGGAGCACTCCTGCTTCTAAAACACAGGCATCTCATGACGGACGTCGTCAGCTTCACAGCTGCTGCTCTGACACGTGGGAAACTGAGGCCCACGCCCCTGGGCTGCACAGAAAACATACATCCGGTGCTTTCCCGTGTTTTCAAAAGACTTGTACATACATTGTGTCGTTTGAACCCCCACCAGTCTTATAAACAGGCAAGTGGAGCTTTATTCTGTTTCTTTTACAGATGAAGAAACAAGCTCAGAGAGGTTGAGTGACTTGCCCAAAAGCACACAGCACTCGTGCATCGTCCGGGAACAGAGCAGGGCAGGGTTCCGCCTCCTCCGGTCCCATGAAACTCTGGTGTTTGCCCTCAGAACTAAGAGCGGGAAACCCCCACCCACTCCCGGTGTTTTCCTCTCCAGGGTCTCGCTCCCCGAGGAGCCCCCCACCGCCCCTCCGCAGAACGTCATCGCCAGCGGCCGGACCAACCAGTCCATCATGATCCAGTGGCAGCCGCCCCCGGAGAACCACCAGAACGGCCTCCTCAAGGGCTACATCATCAGGTCGGCGTCCGCCGGAGGGACGGGGGAGGGGCCCGTGGATGGGGAGCATCAGGAGTGGACGGGAGAACAGAGCCAATTCACACGGGCCCTTCGCCATCTAGCAAGGATCAGGCAATAAGAAAAGCCCACCCTTGCCGAAACCGGTTTGGCTCAGTGGAAAGAGCGTCGGCCTGCGGACTGAAGGGTCCCGGGTTCGATTCCAGTCAAGGGCATGTACCTGGGTTGCGGGCACATCCCTAGTGGGGGATGTGCAGGAGGCAGCTGATCGATGTTTCTCTCTCATCGATGTTTCTAACTCTCTATCTCTCTCCCTTCCTCTCTGTAAAAAATCAATAAAATATATTTAAAAAAAAAAAAAGAAAGAAAGAAGAAAAAAACAAAGAAAAGCCCACCCTTTGGTAGAAAGGATGGCGGTTAGACGTCTAGAACAGCGGTTCTCAACCTGTGGGTCGCGACCCCTTTGGTGGTCGACCGACCCTTTCACAGGGGTCGCCTAAGACCATCGTTTTCCATGCGCACTAAGGCTTTGAGAGCCCCTGCTATGGGTATAATAACACCCAGATCACCTGGGGCCCCTAATTTCCCAAGGTTAGAGTCTAAGTAAGTGTGCATCGTGGTTCTCTGAGCTCCCAGCCGCAGGAATTTGCCTGTAGAGGTGTCACTTCCTTGTTCCCCAGTGTTCTTTGTTCTGGTGGCAGGTAGAAATGCTGGCGTAGGTAGCCTCAGGCTTTTTTTCTCTCTACCCATGTGAGTGACCAGCAGAGAGAGAGCCACTGTCCTAGAAGGAGAAAGAAAATGAGCCCAGCCCGGGTGGTGTGGCTGTCCCAGCAATCTGTTTTAACAAGCCCTCCAGGTGTTTTCCATGCGCACTAAGGCTTTGAGAGCCCCTGCTATGGGTATAATAACACCCAGATCACCCGGGGCCCCTAATCTCCCAAGGTTAGAGCTAAGGTAAGTGCACATCCTGGTTCTCTGCGCTCCCAGCCACCGGAATTTGCCTGTAGAGGTGTCACTTCCTTGTTCCCCTGTGTTCTTTGTTCCGGTGGCAGGTAGAAATGCTGGCGTAGGTAGCCTCAGGCTTTTTTCTCTCTACCTATGTGAGTGACCAGCAGAGAGAGAGCCACTGTCCTAGAGGGAGAAAGAAAATGAGCCCAGCCCGGGTGGTGTGGCCCCATGGTGGAGGGTCAACCTATGAACCAGGAAGTCACAGTTCAAGTCCCGGTCAGGACACAGGCCCAGGTTGCGGGCTCCATCCCCAGTGTAGGCAGCCGATCAATGATACTCTCTCATCATTGATGTTTCTAACTCTCTCTCTTTGCCCCTTCCTCTCTGAAATCAATAAAAATATATCTTTTAAAATAAAATAAAACAAAAAAATATTTTTTAAAAAACCAGAATGGTCCCCGAGACGTGTGTTAACCAGTCAGGTAGCCACTGGATGAGGCACGGGAGCCACCACCAACCCACTATATCCTGACTCCCTCCCCTCAGGTACTGCCTGGCCGGGCTGCCTGTCGGGTACCAGTTCAAGAACATCACAGATGCTGACGTCAACAACCTGCTGCTGGAGGACCTCATCATCTGGACCAACTACGAGATCGAGGTGGCCGCCTACAACAGCGCCGGGCTGGGCGTCTACAGTGGCAAAGTCACCGAGTGGACGCTGCAGGGAGGTGGGTGTGCCAGTGGCCCCGTGGGGAGGGGCCTGCGGAGAAGAGGGAGAGGTCGGGGCGAGCGCGATGCAGGCGGCGGTTGCAGGGGTTCAGGGACCTTCTGCGAAGGTTCAAATTAACTGGATCACGAACCAGCTTACGTCTTAGCGTTGGACCTAACACCACCCCCGGCATTTTCATATCCGGTTCTTTCCTTTGTCAGTGCCTGTGAAATGGGTCAGACAAGCTTTATTTTTTATATATTATTATTGATTTCAGAGAGGAAGGGAGAGGGAGAGAGAGAGAGAGAAACATCAATGGTGAGAGGAAATTATCTATCGGCTGCTTTCTGCACACCCCCAACTGGAGATCGAGCCTGCAACCCAGGCATGTGCCCTGGCCAGGAATTGAACCATGACCTCCTGGTTCATAGGTCGACACTGAGCCACACCAGCTGTCAATGTTTCTATCTCTCTCTCTCTCTCTCTTTGAGCCAGACAAGCTTTATTAATGCAAACTAATCAAGAGACAGAAGGCAGCCCTAACCGGTTTGGCTCAGCGGATAGAGCGTCGGCCTGCGGACTCAAGGGTCCCAGGTTCGATTCCGGTCAAGGGCATGTACCTTGGTTGTGGGCACATCCCCAGTAGGGAGTATGCAGGAGGCAGCTGATCGATGTTTCTCTCCCATTGATGTTTCTAACTCTCTATCCCTCTCCCTTCCTCTCTGTAAAAAATCAATAAAATATATTTTTTTTAAAAGAGAGAGAGAAAGAAGGCATTTTGGTCTGCACAGGAAGGGGAGAGTTGCGGGGGATAAGCAGAGCCCACAGACCCCTTCCCTGTGTTTTCTCTACTTAACTGTGTGTGCCCCTCCACCCCCACCCCCTCTCTGCTCTCCTCCAGTCCCCACGGTCCCTCCGGGCAACGTGCACGCGGAAGCCACCAATTCCACGACCATCCGCTTCACCTGGAACGCCCCCAGCCCCCAGTTCATCAACGGCATCAACCAGGGCTACAAGGTACGTGGGGCCCGTCCTCGTCCCAGAGGAAGCTGGGAGGTGCACAGCGACAAACACATGGCAACTGCTCTGAGAACGATGCGGGAGCCGTAGCAGCAGGAATGCATCTGTTTGCTCCGCTGCGGGCTGCGTAACCAAGTGCCCCCAGGCTGCGGGACTTGGAGCTTCGTTTTCTCACCGTTCTGGAGGCGGGCAGTCCGAGATCCAGGTGTCGGCAGGGTGGGCTTCTTCTGCGGCCTCAGTCCTTGGCTTGCAGACGGCCATCTTCTCCCTGTGTCCTCACATGGTCTTCCCTCTGCGTGTGTCCGTGTCCAAATCCCCTCTTCTCACAAGCACACCGGTCAGATGGGAGGAGGGCCCACCCTAAAGAGTCGTTTTAACCTAATTGCCCCTTTAAAGGCTGCCTCCTGATGCAGTCACCTTCTGAGGTCTTGGGCCTTGGGACTTCAGTGTATATATTGAGGGAGAAACAGTTCAGCCCACAACCAATAGCAATAATAGCAGTAAGAGAGACTGTAACGGTGGTAGCAGCAAGTGTGGCAGTAACCGTGGTAACAGTAAGAGTGTCAATAACGTTGGTAACAGTAAGCGTGGCAGTAACGGTAGTAGTACCGTTGATGGCAGTACCGGTGATAGCACCGGTGATGGCAGTGACAGTAAATTTGCTGTAACTGTAACTGCACTAAAAGCCAGGACTTCTCAACCGTCCCCTCCTAGAACCCAGACCCTGGATCCCACGCCTGGCCTCTCCTCTCTCCCCGAGGAGCCCGGAGCGCGCCCTGGGCCCCATTTGCAGCCTGGCCCCAGCGGCTTGGGCAGGTGGGAGGAGGCAGTTGGCCCCTCCAGATGTGGGAGGGAGGCAGAGCTTCTGAGGGGCAGTGTCGGGAGCCAGCTGTGACAGGGACCGGTACCAGGGCCGGGGGAGAACTGCAGGGTCTGGCTCTGAGCCCAGGATCCGGTGATGGCAGACACCTCCCTCCGGAAGGTTCCCGCACGCCCTCCGTGCCGCCTTGGCTTGCAGACGGCTGTCTTCTCCCTGTGTCCTCATATGGTCTTCCCTCTGCGTGTGTCCGTGTCCAAATCCCCTCTTCTCACAAGCACACGGGTCAGATGGGAGGAGGGCCCACCCTAAAGAGTCGTTTTAACCTAATTGCCCCTTTAAAGGCTGCCTCCTGATGCAGTCACCTTCTGAGGTCTTGGGCCTTGGGACTTCAGTGTATATATTGAGGGAGAAACAGTTCAGCCCACAACCAATAGCAATAATAGCAGTAAGAGAGACTGTAACGGTGGTAGCAGCAAGTGTGGCAGTAACCGTGGTAACAGTAAGAGTGTCAATAACGTTGGTAACAGTAAGCGTGGCAGTAACGGTAGTAGTACCGTTGATGGCAGTACCGGTGATAGCACCGGTGATGGCAGTGGCAGTAAATTTGCTGTAACTGTAACTGCGCTAAAAGCCAGGACTTCTCAACCGTCCCCTCCTAGAACCCAGACCCTGGATCCCACGCCTGGCCTCTCCTCTCTCCCCGAGGAACCCGGAGCGCGCCCTGGGCCCCATTTGCAGCCTGGCCCCAGCGGCTTGGGCAGGTGGGAGGAGGCGGTCGGCCCCTCCAGATGTGGGAGGGAGGCAGAGCGTCTGAGGGGCAGTGTCGGGAGCCAGCTGTGACCGGGACTAGGACCGGGACCAGGGCTGGGAGAGAACTGCAGGGTCTGGCTCTGAGCCCAGGATCGGGTGATGGCGGACACCTCCCTCCGGAAGGTTCCCGCACGCCCTCCGTGCCGGGTCTGCACGTGTGCAACAACCCAGATCGCTCTGGGACTAGCAGCCTCCTAGAACCCAGACCCTGGATCCCACGCCTGGCCTCTCCTCTCTCCCCGAGGAACCCGGAGCGCGCCCTGGGCCCCATTTGCAGCCTGGCCCCAGCGGCTTGGGCAGGTGGGAGGAGGCAGTTGGCCCCTCCAGATGTGGGAGGGAGGCAGAGCTTCTGAGGGGCAGTGTCGGGAGCCAGCTGTGACAGGGACCGGTACCAGGGCCGGGGGAGAACTGCAGGGTCTGGCTCTGAGCCCAGGATCCGGTGATGGCAGACACCTCCCTCCGGAAGGTTCCCGCACGCCCTCCGTGCCGAGTCTGCATGTGTCCAACAACCCAGATCGCTCTAGGACTAGCAGCCTTGGCCGTTCCCGCTGCCGTCGGGCGTGGCTGGGCGGGAAGGACTGAGGACGGTCTGCCAGCTGAGTGTGAGGTCCCCTCGGCTGTCTCTGGGCCTGCTCTCATTCCTCTCCTCGGGTCGGTGCTGATGCCCAATCCAGGGCCTGAGTGTTGGATTCTAAGCAGACAAAGTGGGGATGGCCCAGAGCTGACCACGCCCAGCCACAGCCCTCTCACTCTCCCCCAGAGGGCACCACGGCCTGGGCAGGGGGAGGGAGGGGTGGGCAGGTGCTGCAGCTGAGGGCTGGCAGCCCTGACTGGCTGGAAAGCCTGCTAATTGGGACTCTGGGGGAGGCAGGGGAGAGAAGGAGACGGCCCGACTCATGCTGAGGATCTGAGCAGCGAACAGTTAGCTTTGTGCTGCTGGTCCTAAGTTTTCTTCCCCGTATGGGAGGGCTGGGCTGCAAACTTCTAAAGCAAATGGCTCCCGGGGCGCCGAGAAGGCCAGCCAAGTGGCCAGGACAATTAGAGCCCAGAACTAAAGGAGGCTGCTGAGCCCACCCGAGCCCAGCCCGTGCCCAGCACCCAGGAGCTGCTCGATACGAGTCAGGGAAGGGATTGCCCAGATACTGGGACACAGGAGCCAGCAGAAGAGTAAGAGGAGCTCACGTGTACAGGGCACTTTCTACGTGCCGAGTGGGATGCTGGGGGGAGCTACGCTCATTCCTCTCTCATGCAAGCTGCACGAGAGCCCCAAGAAGCTTTATCGGCATCACCCCATTTTACAGAAGAAGAAACTGAGGCACGAGAGGCAAGTCAGTTGTTCCAAGTCCGAGGACCTGCAAAGCTCAGATTCAAGCTCCAGAGCCTGCACCTTTTCTTACATTGAAAAGAAAACATGTCCTTTGAGTTTATTATAAAATAATGATACTTTTTTTCTAAGTACAAATGGATCCAAGTGGGGGTTCTGTTTCTTGCTTCTGTGGCCTTCAGTATCGCAGAGAGAAAAAAGCAGTGTTTGTCCCTTGCAGACCTCAGCGGGAATGGGCTTTTCCCCCTTTTAATTGTGAAACATTTCAAACATCTACAAAAGGAGAGAGAGGCTTGTAGTGAGCCATACGCACATCCCCGGTTTCAGAAGTTACCCATTCACAGCCAAACGCGTTCCGTCTGCTCTCGCACCCTCAGCCACACCCCCGGAGTCTCATGTCACCCATAAATATTTCTGTCCAGAAACAGTATAAAGTCTCTGTTTAAGCCATTATCAGTCTCCGGCCTAAAAAGATCAACAGTCCCTTTAATACAATCAGACACCCACTGGGATTTAAATTTCCCTCGTTGCTACACGGTTTCTCTTACTAGTTGGTCTATTTGCTTTGGCATCCAAATGAGATCCACACAATTGCATTTGCTTTGCTTTGCTTTGGTTTGGCGTTTCTTTGTTGTTATTGGGGATGGGGGCATAGGTCTCCGTTGATCTACAGATCCCCTCTCTCTTTTCTTTTTCTTTTTTTTTTTTCTAGCAATTTATTGAGTTAAGAATCTCCGTCCTTTGTACCGTAGAATTTCCCACAGTCTGGATCTTGCTGATTGTGCCCCTGGGGGGTCATTTAACACAGGCCTCTGAAAACTATCTTTGCCTTAAATTGGACTTGGAATGAGAGGCTTGATCAGATTCGGGTCTGAGGGTTTTATTTCCCCAGGATTGCTCCCTGGATGGTGGCGTGTATTTTTATTAGAAGGCAGGACGTGCGGCTGCTCTTACTGCGGCATGGCGCCCACTGACGGGCCTGGCGCGATCTGTCATTTCAATAGGACTTGCCAAATTGGGACAGTCCGATGTTATGATTTTGTCTTGATTGATTAGCTGAAATCTTTTTTTTTTTAAGAATTTTCTCCTTACCCACTTGTTGTTTATCCAAAGGCAGCGTTCATCCAGGAAAAGCATAGTAAACACTCCGTTCTCTCCCATTACTGAGCAATTTTCAGAATAATGAACTGGTTCCTTAGCAACTGCTAAGGGGACAGGTGACTTTGGATTGGGGTAGGGGAGGCATCTTTTTGTTTTGCTTTGGTTTGGGTAGTAGTATTATATACTTAAGAATTCTTAAAAACACCTCTGATATGTCTCAATCCACTGCCATTATAATTCTTTTTTTTAATATATATTTTTTATTGATTTCAGAGAGGAAGGAAGAGAGAGAGAAACATCAATGATGAGAGAGAATCACTGATCGGCTGCGTCCCGCACGCCCCACACTGGGGATCAAACCCGGAAACCAGGGCATGTGCCCTGATCGGGAATCGAACCATGACCTCTTGGTTCATAGGTCAACTCTCAACCACTGAGCCACGCCAGCCAGGTGCCATAATAATTCTTAGTGATGCCAAATTGACCCGTCATTGGCCTCTTCAGGTTGACTCATGAATCCTTTTTCTTCCTTTTTGTAAAATATTTATTTTGTTATTGACATCAGAGAGGGAGAGAGAGAGAGAGAGAGAGAGAGAGAGAGAGAGGCTGATGCTCTATCCACTGAACCACACCAGCTAGGGCCCTCATGAATCCTTTTGACATGGCGCCTGCTAGTCTTCGATAGCGTCCTTGCTGTCCGTATGACAAGACGCCCCATGCTATCTACATTTCCTACACCGTGCCCGGGCGCAGCCGTGTCTTCCAGGAGTCTTGTTCCCTTAGCAGAAGTGAGAGTTAGATGCCACGGTCTGGGCACCGGGGTGTCCTTGCTCCAGCCCTGGGTGCTGTTCCGAGGCCCTGTGCATGGACAGTGAGGAAATACTGTTGTGTGTGTTATTGATTTTAGGATCCAGTTCAGTTCCAGGACGTCTTCATACTCTCATGGGCCTCTTGTCCGTATCTCTTTTCTCCAGTCCCCGCAGGGCTGTCCCCCAAACGCCCGCCGCGGCCTCGGAATGGGCACCTCAACACTTCCGTTACTGAACTCGGTTTCTGTCGCTCAGAGGGCATCCCGAGGGGTGGACTTCCCCCACGAGCGGCTGGGTCCCCTGATACAGTCTCTCGCCGTGTGACGTGGCTGCGACTCCGTACGCGCACGGTCAGGCTCGTCGGTTTCACTGTGGTTCTCGATGTTTAGGGATTGATTTTTTTTTTAATTTCATTTCATTTTGTAATTATATAGCCTATGTACAGGCCTCCACAGTTAAATCTACAGAGCAAAGTAGTCAGTTCAGGGGAAATCAGCCTGAATTCCGGGCCTCTCCCTCCGCCGGAGGTTTGATTTCTTTTTGTTTGGTTTGTTTTTTCCTTACGTTTTGTGAGGGTTTTTTTTTTAACATAAGCAAGTACATACATGTATGGGTGAAAGTATATCCTCTCCCTTCTGGATAAATGACAGCGAACTCCACACACTTTCTCAATCTTGCTTTTCTGTGTGCGTTACGTCCTGAGACCACCCCGTAGGAGTATATGGAGCTATCCCTTGTTCCTTCCTATACAACTGTATCCTACTCCATGTGTAAATACTAGAGGCCCGATGCATGAAATTCATCCCTCGCAGCCCCGGCTTCGTCCAGACGGTCTCAGGACAGTCGGTCGTTCTGCTGCTCAGTCTAATTAGCATATGAGCTCTGGATTATATAGGATCCCATAGTCTAGCCCACCGGCTCCCCACTGCAGACATTTCTGGTTTCCAGTCTTTGGCTTAACAAACCTTCTTGCAGTGAGTAGCTTTGTGCAAACATCATTTCATGTTTTCACATCTAACGTAGGAGTGGATTCTAAGAAATAAGATAGCTTGGTCAGAGGATAAATATGTATATAATTTTGCTCCTATTGCCAAATTCCCCATTATAGTTTTTAACTTTTTACACTAATTTTTAACAAGAAATAAATGTACATGATTCAAACACCAACAGATGTAAAGGGATGAACCTCTAGCAGCCGCCCTACCTCCCACCCCAGCCCCTCGTCTGCCTGGTTCTAGGCCGCCCACCCCAGAACTCTCCCCACTCCAGGGAACCGTTGTTCATTTCTTACGTCCCAGAATGTTTCATGGGAATCCATCAAATGCCGAGTCAGACAGAGAGAGGGAAAGGCAAAGGAAGGGGAAGAGAGAATGTCCCTGACTTGTTCTCTTTTTTTAACCCCAGAAGCCGTCGGGCCATCCTTACTATCCTAACTCTCAACCCCATCATGCACTGCTTCCACCAGCTAGCGATTACTGTCCCCAGTAGTAGCCTGAGGCCCAGAGAGGTTGAGTGACTCTCCCAGGGTCACACAGTAAGTGACAGAACTGGGCTCTCTCTGGCTTTCTCTCTGCTTTGGCTGCACATGCTGCCCTCCCTACACACACACACACACACACACACACACACACACACCGGCAGCACCACTCTTTGGGTAGAGGGTGACCTCCCCGGACCCCTGCTCCCTAAGGGGGACTTGCCTGTCCCAGAATCTAGGTGTGATGTTCCTCCCCCAGCACACACTAGCCCCAGCCACGCTCGGGGCAGCCAGGTCTGCTTAGAGTCCAAGACCAGGGCCTACTGGAGTGAATCAGCTGTGAGCCCGAGCTAGCGGGAGCGGCACAGAGGCGCCAAGGGGCCCCTAACGCTCAGCCGGCCACTGTGTGCCCCTCAGTGGTCTTCACCCACGGTCTCGGGTCCACAGATCTGAGGCCAGACCCTGGTGGCTTCCCATGCAGGTTCCCCAACCACCCTGAGCCTCCGTTTCCCTTTGGGTCACGGCACGCGACAGTGGTTCCCATCGAGGCCTCACTGTGCGGATGAAATGGGGCTGGTCAGGGAGGGCCTTAGCCCAGGGCCAGGCCCAGAGAGGCTGACTGCCCAGCAGGCTGTAGCCTGTTGTGTGTGCTGGGCCCACGGTCCCATCCACCGCTGCCCAGAGCCCAAGAGAAGGTGCACGGGGCAGTGGCAGTGTTTTCCGGCCCTAAAGGATCTTGAGGCCTCTCCACCTGACCCTCCTGGTCTTCAGATGCAGCTGGAGAAGGACGCGTGGCTCCAGTCCCAGCGTAAATAGTTTGACACAACCGCGGTCTTGCCACCATCGTGGGCGTCGGGCCTGGGGTCGTTGCCGTGACCTCAAACCACGCTGCGGGGACCCTCCGCCCTCCTTCTGGGCTCCTTCTGAGGCAGTCCCTTGGGGTACTGTTTCAAGGCGCCTGTGAAGACACCCTTTGTCCTTTGTGTCTTTGTTGTTGTCAGTCTTTATTTTTTATTATTTTGTTAATCCTCACCTGAGGGTATTTTCCCATTGATGTGTAGAAAGAGTGGAAGGGAGATAGAGAGACAGAAATATTGATGTGAGAGAGACACATTGACTAGTTGCCTTCGCACACGCCCCGCCCAGGGCCTGGGATCGTGCCTGCAACCAAGGTACGCGCCCTTGGCCTGAGTCGAACCCGGGACCCTTCAATCCCCAGGCCGATGCTCTTTCTGCTGAGCCAAACCGGCCAGGACTGTCCTTAGTTTTTTTAATGGTAGTAAGTGTAACTGGCCTAAACCCAATACAATGATATTTACCCAGATTCTGCACCCGCTGGGGAACACGCCACACAATTCATTCCGATGGCGTAATTAATTCAAATTTACATTAATTAAATTAAAACATTAAACTTGTTTCTTAATCTACTCCGCAGAAGTTCGGCGATTTAATTGCTATGAAACAAGATAACTGAAATAAAGAGGATATTTAACATACTTATTAAATGCCACTTAGGGTTTCTGATTAGTATTTTTAGGGTCTAATTAGTGTCTAATTAGCTTGCCATAGGCTATCTTTTCACAATAGCGATTAGATTTCCAAACGTCCTGAATAAACACGTGTCCGTGAAAGGAGAAGATGAAGCATGTGATGGCGGGCGTTAATCAGGAGGCGTCGGCAGGGTATTGTTTTAGATCTATAAATACCCGCACTTATTAAAACCCATCGAGTGTTGCTTTTCACCATTAATTGCTGTTTAATCAACTTCAAATAAATGAGGGAATCTCTGAGACCAGCTGTCAGGCTGGAGACAGATGAAGGGCCCAGAAAACGGGAGTGTGAGGTGAGGGATCGAGAGACGGAAAGAGCCCGGGTGGTGTGGCTCAGAGGTTGAGTGTCGACCTAGGAGCCAGGAGGTCCTGTGAACCAGGAGGTCACAGTTCGCGATTCCCGGTCAAGGCACATGCCCAGGTTGCAGGCTCGATCCCCAGTAGGGGGTGTGCAGGAGACAGCCTATCGATGATTCTCTCTCATCGTTGATGCTTCTCTCTCCCTTTTTCTCTGAAATCAATAAAAAATATTTTTTTAAAAAAATAGAGAGAAGCAGGAAGAGTCCAGACTGGGTGGCTCAGTTGCTTGGAGCATCATCCCGATCACTAAAAGGTTACGGTTCAATCCCCGGTCAGGGCATATACAGGGGGCAACCAATCCATGTTTCTCTCACATCGATGTTTCTCTCTCTCTCTCTCTCTCTCTAGTAAACATATCCTCGGATGAGGATTTTTTTAAAAATCTTTTTAGAAAGAGGCAAGAAGAGGAGGAAGGGGAGGCAGGAAGCTTACGCAGCCATGGGTGGTGCCTGTAGAGGGGAGATGAGACAAAAAGAGGTGTTGAATTTCCACGGGATTTCTTGGCTGGTGCCCATCTCTGGGGAATGGTTAAGACTGAAATCCCAACTTGGAACAAGTTTAAAGAATAAGAGTTAACCTCCAACCAACGTTCCGGCTCCAAATTCAGGGAAACCCCAAGGGAGCAGCCGCCCAGCCCAGAGGGAGAAAGTGTAGGAGGCCCGGTGTTGGAATTAGAGACCTCATCTCTCTACTTTGCTGTGTGACACAGAGTCAGTCACTGAGCCTCTCTGAGCCTCAGTTTCCTCGTCTGTAAAAAGCAGGGCCGGCTTCCTGGGTGGCTCCGGGCTCCACGCTCAGAAGGACCCCAGGCCCGGTTCAGTGCTCCGCTGCCGTCATCTTGAAATTCTTAATGATTTTTGCACGAGGGGTCCCTCCATCTTCATTGTGCGCCGGACCTACAGACCATGTAGCTCATCTTGGTAAAATATCAGCCCTCTCTCTGGTGGGGTCGCTGTGGGATCTGCAAAGCCATCGTGACTCGCGGTGCCGCGCCATCACCCGGTGAGCGGAGTGGAACGGCCCGCCGAAGCGCGCTCCCGGGACACGGGCTCCGGTGGCCTGTGGGTATCGGCACGGCCACCCCTTCCCTGGGAGGAGCGACCGCAGGGATCTGGGCTCCTGGACACTCTCTGTCCATCAGCCCAGCCTGCGGGAAAACGCCCAGCCTCTTCTGGAACCTTCTGACTCCCCTGCCTTCCTTGCTGGCCTCTCCCCAGCTGATCGCCTGGGAGCCGGAGCAGGAAGAGGAGGTTACCATGGTGACTGCCCGACCCAACTTTCAAGACAGCATCCACGTGGGCTTCGTGTCGGGCCTGAAGAAGTTCACGGAGTACTTCACGTCCGTACTGTGCTTCACCACCCCCGGGGACGGGCCCCGCAGCAGCCCGCAGCTGGTGCGCACCCTGGG